TAGGAGATGGGGGTGGGGCTTGAGGTGGGAGGAGGGGATAGGTGGGAGGAAGGACAGGTTAGGGAGGCGGGGACAAGCTGGGCTGGTTTTGGGATGCGGTTGGGGGAGGGGAGATTTTGAAGCTTGTGAAGTCCACATTGATACCATTGGGCTGCAGAATTCCCAAGTGGAATATGAGTTGCTGTTCCTGCAACCTTCGGGTGGCATCGTTGTGGCACTGCAGGAGGCCCAGGATGGACATGTCATCTGAGGAATGGGAGGGGGAGTTGAAATGGTTCGCGATTGGGAGTTGCAGTTGTTTAGTGCGAACCGAGCGTAGGTGTTCTGCAAAGGGGTCCCCAAGCCTCCACTTGGTTTCCCCGATGTAGAGGAGGACACAACGGGAACAGCGGATGCAGTATACCACATTAGCAGATGTGCAGGTGAACATCTGCTTGATGTGGAAAGTCTTCTTGGGGCCTGGGATGGGGGTGAGGGGGAAGGTTAGGGGCAGGTGTAGCATTTCCTGCAGTTGCAGGGAAAAGTGCTGGGTGTAGTGGGGCTGGAGGGGAGTGTGGAGTGGACAAGGGAGTCACTGAGAGAGGGGTCCCTCCGGAAAGCAGATAAGGGTGGGGAGGGAAAAATGTCTCCGGTGGTGGGGCCGGATTGCAGATGGCTGAAGTGTCGCAGGATGATGCATTGGATCCGGAAGTTGGTGGGGTGGTAGGTGAGGACGAGGGGGATTCTGTTTTGGTTGTTATTGCGGGGAGGGTGTGTGAGGGATGAGTTACGGGAAATGCGGGAGACACGGTCAAGGGCGTTCTCGACCACTGAGGGGGGGAAGTTGTGGTCCTTGAAAAATGAGGACATCTGAGATGTACGGGAGTGGAATGCCTCATCCTGGGAGCAGATGCGGCGGAGGTGAAGGAATTGGGAATAGGGGATGGCATAGGGGATGGCATAGGGGACTCGGAAAGCCGTGAACGCAGAGAAGTCATCTTCACTGAAACAAAAAAACATTTTTTTTCCAGGTTTGGATCCAGCTGGACCCTTGTTTGAAGGGGCCATCCCTGATCAGCGACTCTCCCCAGATGATGCAGACTTTGTAGATGTACTACACACTTTTGTATATGGTACACTGGGAGTTAGCATTGGCATCAGTCAGCCTATTGGCCATATTGATGTGTATCCAAATGGTGGCAGTTTCCAGCCTGGATGTGGCCTTCATGATGTCATCAGTATTATAGCCCATGCAAGTATGTATTTCAATATTTTGACCCCTCTGCCCTTAAAATGCTTGTTCATTGTAATTTGTACTTGTTAAGATTGTTTCTGTAATGGGTCATTAAAGTAAATCATTACCTGCTTCTTAGTTTTATTTCTGATTGTCCGAAAAACTCTATTACTTTTCACTGAGTCTTATTGGCTATTATTTGAAACCAGCCTGACTTAGCTGTGAGACATGTCACAGGTATCTACAAGAGACGTGTCAGATTTGATTTCCAATTTGTTCTGCAGTGCTTGAACCTAAATTAAGAAACAGTTTTATGAACTTTTAGAAGAACGAAAGATCCCTTAGCTAAAGAAGCTTGCCAATTGCAAATATCAACTTCTCCCATGTCCCTGCATCAAATTCTCACAAAATCCTGTCTCCTTTCTACAGAGTCCAGTCACTTGTTTCTTGTATCCATTGAAATTTCCATAATATACCTTCACTATTAGTTTATTGCACAAAATTATTGTCCTATATGTGGATGCTTCCTCTTGTGCAGCATTCTGGGACAAGAGACCATAGTCTTAGGATAAGGGGTAGCAAAGTTAAAACAGAGTTGAGGAGAAACTACTTCTCCCAATGGGTTGTGAATCTGTGGAATTTGCTACCCAAAAGTGCAGTGAATGCTGGGACAGTGAGTAAATTTAAGGAAGAGTTAGACAGATTTTTAATTGGTAATGGGTTGAAGGGTTATGGGGAGAAGGCAGGAAAATGGGGGTGAGGAGCATATCATCCATGGTCGAATGGCGGATCAGACTTCAATGGGCCGAATGGCCAAATTCTGCCCCTATATCTTATGAACCTATGAAAACTTTCCACCAAATTTTAATTTATGCAAAGCTTCTTAATTTTTTTTAGTCCTGTGCTTTGACATCTGGGTTTTTGCAGTAATGTGCTGCATTACTTTTGCCAGTGAACTTTACAATCTTGTAAAATTCATTTAGATTTCAATGGGGCCCTAGTATTTGTTTTTCAAATTCATAACAGGGTCACCAAGCTTCCCGGTAAGGGCCCATTGAGATTTAATTGAAGTTTCTAAGGCTCTGAAGTGAGTGGATAACTATGCTATTTCCATTCCCTGTTCTTATCCTTTCAGAGATAGCTAATCCTGCTGACTCTTAATTGCCTGCGGAAACTGTGTTTAAACTTAATGTGAACATTATAAGCTTGGCTGTGGTAGGCTCCATGTCTAAGTTAGGCTGCTCTTACCAACTTTAGTGGCCATTGTTGAAGAATCTACATGGTACAGGATGACAGCCAGCACCTAGGGAATTGTAGCAAAGCTCTTTGTCAGTTTCGTCAGTAAAGATAAAGAAAATATGAGGAGATTGTTGAGTGTTATAATTGTTTCCTTATTTCTATTGGCAGGTATTGGTGAAGTTGTTCATTGTGAGCATGAGCGTTCAGTCCACCTCTTCGTTGATTCCATCCTGAACCAGGATAAGCAAAGTCTGATGTATCGATGCCCAGACACTAAGACATTTGAGAAGGGAATGTGCCTCAGCTGTCGAAGGAATCGTTGTAACAAGCTGGGCTACAATGTCAAAAAAGTCAGAAGCAAACGTCTGAACAGGATGTATTTGAAAACAAGAGCAGATATGCCCTTTAAAGGTGAGTAGCAGAACAGCCTTACATAAATGGTCTATATACAAAGATATATACATGTATTTTAAAAGAGCTACATTTTCTATCTGGAAGGATTAGCAAGAAGAATGTTTCTGCCTGGAAATGCCTTATATAAATGAGATTTATATGCACGTAGCTAAAATCTTTCAAGGTACCTCCTTTGAAAAAAACAATTTAGATCAAAATTTAGTTTAATTCTGATACTTTCTCAGAATCTTTCTTGCCACATTCCTACAATGGCAAGTCTACTGTTACCCTAATGCATTTATATAATGTATGGATGGCACAGTGGTTAGCAGTGCTGCCTCACAGCGCTAAGGACCTGGGTTCAGTTCCACTCTCAGGTGACTGTGCGGAGTTTGCACATTCTCCTTGTGTCTGCCTGAGTTTCTGTTGATTGCTCTGGTTTCCTCCCACAGTACAAAGATGTGCAGGCTAGGTGGATTGGCCATGCTAAAGTGTCCAGTGGTGTGTAATTTATGCGAATTAGACATGGGAAATGTAGCGGGATGGGTCTGGCTGGGATGCTCTTTGGAAGGGCAGTGTGGATTGTTGGGCCAAATGGCCTGTTTCCATACTGTAGGGATTATATAATTTGTCTGTATAGCATGCGAAACAATACTTATCACTGTATCTTGGTACATGTGACAATAATAAATCAGATTAAAAAAATTAAAATAGACAAATTCCACAAGCTACTACTTTGCTAATGCATATACCAACCCAACCTGCTCCTATGATGCTGCTTGGCCTGCTGTGTTCATCCAGCCCTGCACCTTGTTGTCTCACCTTATTAACTTTTTAATTTTGAACTGCTGAGATCTGTGCTGCAAAGAGAAAACACAAAAAAAGAAGAAAAGGTTTTGAATCTTTATTCCTGACTCCTAAAAAGAGACTGAATTGAACAAGGACTTTTAAAATGCTATCTTCAATAGTTAAAATATTTTCTATACTTCTTCTCCAGTTTTCCACTACCAGTTAAAAATGCACTTATTCAGTGTAGAAGAAATACAAGATTCAAATCCTGAATTGCATGTAAACTTGTATGGGACCAAAGCTGACAGCAAGAAGACCAAAATTGAAATGTATGTATGCCTCATCTTTGAAAGCTAATAGCGAGGTTGCAAGTGGTTATTTCTAGAGTGCGTGTGTATGATAAACGTTGGACATAAAGGCATTTTTTTGTGTTTAGCAGGGACATAAAACAATAAATTAACATTGAAACTCACAGAAAGGCAGGTGGTTGCAGGAATGGGATGGTGATGGTGGGGAGGGTGGGGAAAGCAAGGAGAGCATGGTGTCATTGTAGTCATTTCAACTGTTCTCCCACCCAGTCGAACAGGGGTTTAAATAATCTCAACTGACTGCTACCACATACTACATTAATATAGTAATGTTAGTATTTCTCCATAAATTTTTATTTAAAATTGTTTCAGTTTGGTTTTGTAGAAACATCCAAAGTCAGTTGAATAGTGGAAGTTGTAACTCAGAAATTTACTTTTCCTGTAGTGTATCACACCCATCAATTAGAATCATAGAGACATAGAGTAATACAACATAGAAACAGGCCCTTTGGCCCAAACTGGTCCATGCTGACCATTGTGCCCACTCAGCTAGTTCCAATTGCCCGCATTTGGTCCATATCCCTCTGAACCCTTCCCATCCATGTACCTATCCAAATGTTTTTAAAATGTAGCTATTGTACCTGCCTCAACCACTTTTTCTGGCTGCCCATTCCATATATGCACCACTCTCTGTGTGAAGAAGTTGCCCCTCAGGTGCTTCTTAACTCTTTCCCCTCTCACCTTAAACCTATGCCCTCTAGTTTTCAATTTCCCATCCCTGGGAAAAAGTCTATATGCATTCATCCTATCTATGGCCTCATGATTTTATACACCTCTACAAGGCCACCCCTTATTCTCCTATGTTCCAAGGAATAAAGTCCTATACTGGCCAACCTGTCCCTATAACTCAGGCCTACTAATCTTGGCAACATCCTCATAAATCTTGTTTGCACACTTTCCAGCTTAACTATGTTTTTCCTATAACAGAGTGACCAAAACTGTACACAATACTCCAAGTCCAGCCTCACCAACGACTTATGCAACTGTAACATAATGTCCCAACTCCTACAATCAATGCCTCGACTGATAAATGCCTTCTTCACTACCCTCTTTACCTGTGACGCCGCTTGCAACGAAATATGTACTTGTACTCCGAGGTCCCTCTGTTCCACAACACTCCTCAGGATCTTACCATTTACTGTATAAGTCCTTCTTTGGTTTGACTTTCCAAAGTGCAACACCTCACACTTATCTGTATCGAATTGCATTTGCCAACCCTCAGCCCACTTCCCCATCTGATCAAGATCCCATTGTGATTTTTGATAACTTTCCTCGCTATCAACGATACCTCCTAATTTTGTCTCATCTGCAAACTTAATAATCATGCCTTGTACTTTCACATCCAGATCATTTATATAAATAACAAATAACAAAGATCCCAGCACTGACCCCTGTGGTACATCACTAGTCACAGGCGTCCAGTGCAAGAAACAAGCATCAATCATCACCCTCTGCTTCCTACCATTGAAGCAATTTTGAATCAAATTAGCTAGCTCTCCCTGGATCCCATGTGACCCAACCTTCATGACTAGCCTGCCATGCGGGACCTTGTCAAAGGCCTTACTAAAATCCATACAGACACATCCACTGCCCTACCGTCATCTATCCTCTTGGTTGCCTCTTCGAAAAGCTCTAAAAGATTTGTCAGACATGATTTCCCATGCACAAATCCATGCTGACTATCCTTAATCAGACCTTGACTATCCAAATGTTGGTTGGTCCTGTCCCTCAGTATCCTCTCCAATAACTTGCCTACCACTGATGTCAGGATCACTGGCCTGTAGTTCCCTGGCTTGTCTTTGCTACTTTTCTTAAACAATGGACAAACATTAGCCACCCTCCAGTCTTCCAGTACTTCACCAGTGCCTAAAGTTGAAGCAAAAATCTCTGCAAGGGCCTCTGCAATTTCTTCCCTAGCCTCCCACAACGTCCGAGTATGGCCTTGATCAGGCCCAGGGGATTTATCCACCTTAATGCGCTTTAAGGCTGCAAACACCCCCTCTCTGGTATTATATGTGGTCTAAAACATCCCCACTTGTTTCCCTTAGCCTTGAAAATGCAAAATACTTGCATTATATATAATTTTTAACAGCCTGAAGGGCTTACAAAGCAGTTTACAATCAATGGGGTATTCTTAAAGTTTAGCTACTGTACGAAATGCAGCAGCAATTTTTACACAGCATGGAGATAATGATAAGATAATCTATTTTAGTTTGATGGATAAAGATTAGTCAGGACACCAGGGAAAACTTCCCTTCTTTTCAAAGTAGGGCCAGGTGATCTTTTATGTCCATAAGAAGACAGACAGGAAATCACTCTAATATCCCTTCTGACTATGGAGCACTCCCTCAGTACTGACTCTCTGATTGTGCAGCATACCCTCAGTCCTGACCCTCTGACTGTGGAGCACTTCCTCAGTCCTGACCCTCTGACTGTGGAGCACCCCCTCAGTACTAACCCTCTGACTGTGGAGCACTCCCTCAGTACTGACCCTTTGACTGTGGAACATTCCCTCAGTACTACACAGAAGTCTCAAACTAGAGTTTGTGCTTAAGCCTCAGTACAGAGTTTTGAACTGTTTTACTTTTGATTCAGCAGTGAGAATAGTTAACTGATAGAAGTCGGGAGGACAAGAAGTTTTTATTTAGAGTTTGTACTACCAAATACCAGCAGTTTAATGAGTTTTACAAATAAAGACAAACTGCTCTGGTTTGTGCTGGTAGTAGAAGCCCACTCATTGATGATGGGAGCTTAAAACAACATCTGCACCTTGTGTTTATGTACCGGCATTTATACAGACTGAGGTAGCCTGATAAGAAAGGCAGGGCTCAGTATTTCTGAGGGTCATGTTTATATAAAGCAAGTATTTATTGAGCCTTGATGCTGCCACCATTGCTTAATGGATAAATGTTTGAACAATGCCAGGAGTTTGAACAATACCACATTCAACTCCTTTTGTCACTGGTGCTACAATCCTGTTTGGGACTATTAATGTGTAAAGAGAAATCCCAAACCAGTAAGTGACCAACAAAACAATATCACGAGATTTCACATTTTTATTGTGTATCAAAAAGACTTAAAATATGTACTAATGTAGTTTATGTAATGACTTATGCTATAAACTCAGTTCTACTTTTCACTTAGCCCCAGAGGTTGTCCTATCTTACAAAACCTTGAAAGTTCATTCACTTTTCCTAGAACCAATCCAAAGTATGAGACAGCCTTCTGCCATTTACTTTATTGCTCTTTAGTTTCCAGCTATTCCTTGAAGTAAGAATTTCACGGTGATCTGTTCATTAGCTTTTGTCTTACTGGTTTTCCAGTTTTCTTTAAAGACCTCACAACTGTAGACTCGTTTGTTCCTTGTCTGACTTTGAACACATATGGACAATGTTTTCATAACTTGCTCCCACAGCTTCTGTGCATCTTTTTCCAAGCTAATCCTTTGAGTTGACTGCTATCTACCACAAGACTATACGAGGGTCTCTGTAGATTTCTTTCGATACTTGCAAGCTAGAGAGAATCTTCCAGCTTCTTTTCCCTCATGAACCCCAATCTGAACAGCCTGCTTTTGTCAGCGAAACAAAAGAACATTGTAGCCAAGCTCCACCTCAAGTCATTATCGCTATGACAATATGATATGCTTTGGAATGATTTAAACAGAAATGAGAATGAATTATTTTACCCTAAACACAACATTTTGAGTCTGCAACTCATTTGTATAATTTATGTTTCTAATGAGTATAATTGTCCTCCCTCCAGTTGCCTTGGTTCCCTTATCTTCGTTAAAGATGGATCATTCATTGTTCAAATATATTCAGTGTTATGTCTGACCTCACAAGGCATTTACAAGTTACATTTTAGGTAGAAAAAATCCAGGCTTATTTGAGTCGCATTTATGTCAGTTGTTTTTCTCAGCTCCTCAAACAGGTGCTCCATTTTGTAAAAGGTTAAAACTACAATGCTTAAAACCAGAAGTTATACTCTAAAACATATAAACCATGAACTAGACATATAGTATTATACACAGTGTCTCATGGCTACCGAGATGGTCCTCAGGACACTTTTGGCACTAACCCTGTCTCTCATGCCAGGGGAAGATTCCCTAGTTTCAAAAATATACCAAGGGAGTGGGCCAGAGTGTCACTAGAAATCCAGGCTAGTCTCTGGCTTTGGAAGGGTCTATCAATCCCACAATGAAGGAGGTGATTTCAGGCTGGGTGGCAGGTTGACATCTCTGTGGACACAAGCCAAGAACTAGGCCTGGTTTCTCCGAGGCATCAAACATCCTGCTTTCTCTCCATGTCCCAGTCACTCAGCAGAACCTCGACACCATTCGGATGGGTTTTTCATCTTGGAGTTCCCTTCTCCGTCTGTAACCACACTGAAGTAGGTCAGATTGATGTTTAACCCTTCCCCCACCTTTCTCTCTGATAATCTGATGGTAGAATCTTAAATTTATTTTTGTTCCCAGGTTAATTTTGAGACTTTCTGCCACAGACTCCCTACAGAGCATCAGAATTTTGGAGCTTTTGCTATCATCATTGCTTGTGTGATTAGCTTCAGTTGTGTTACATTCACTGAAGTTTTGGAAATGTTTTAAGGTGTTAAATTTTTGTCCTGTTACAGACCTGAGCAAGTTGTTGCAAATAGGACAACTTCCTTCCTTGTCTACTTGGAGGATGACATTGGAGATTTGCTTA